CATCTGTAGCAATTTGCTCCTACATTTATTTTTAGTGGTTGGGCATAAAATTCCCATTGAAGCTGGCTGTATGAAAAAGTGAATGAAAGGACATTAAATAAGGGTTATCCTAAAGTAAGATCTTTTCACTGACACCTGTTTGGAAATGGGCAGCCAGCAATTTGAGCATTGTTCAAGCACTCCAGCTAGGCCACAAAGAAGCCTCTCTTCATAACTAATCAAGTCAGTGTTTTAATGAACCATGTACACAGGACCTAGAATGTACTGTCTGTGAAGACACGTATCCTCTCCCCTACTTTGGCTACATTTACAGGCCTCAAATCCCTGCAACTCATAATCTGGAACCCTATTTGCTTCATGCATCCTACAATGTATTATTGTCCCTACAGACCCTTTTCATACCAAAAGCTGGGAAAGAAATCTAAGGTTGACTGTCTAGTGACTAGTAAGCTTGTTTCTTGGAATTGTGTCATATATTGGAAGAATGTTAAACTGATTATAACAGTAGTTTTTACCCACTTTGATCAAATATATTTATTAATGACTTGAACAAAGGCTGGTGTTAAAAATATCCAAGGTGAAGGTAAATTATACCTTTATACTTTGTTAACACAGATTGAAAGTAAATTCAAATCAAAGTAAGGCTTGGTTAAATAAGGAAAAGCTTGAGAATTTGCCCAGTTAATTAGCATCATTATGGGTCATTCAAATTTAAGGAGTGCAAAATCTTACCCACCAGTTAGATTTCTTGGTTGAAGTGTGACAGCTGAGGGAACAGCTTGTTTGGGCACCATGCACAATATTGAATTATTTTCTAGAGTGATAGTCCAGTGTTGTACCATCAACAAAGTACACTGCAGCAACTCACCAAGGTTCTTCACGCAGAGATGTAGGAACTGCCGATGCTGGAGTCTGAGATAACAAGGTGTGGAGTTGGATGAACACAGCAGGCCAGGCAGCATCAGAGGAGCAGGAAAGCTGACGTTTTGGGTCTGGACCCTTCTTCAGAAAATTTTCATCCAGCTCCACACCTTGTTATCACCAAGGTTCTTAGGTAGTACCTTCCAAGCCTGTGACTTCTAACACCAAGAAGGACAAAGGCTGCAGATACATGGGAGCACTGCCATCTACAAGATCTCCTCCAAACCATCTTAATTTAGAACAATATTGTCATTCCTTCAATATTACTGGGTCTAAATTCTGGAAGTCCATTTGTAACAGCACTATTGGTGTATATAGTCCCCATGAATTGCAATGATTCAAAAGGGTAGATCGCTACCATCTTTTTAAGGGCAATTAAGGATGAGTAATACTGGCCTATCAATCCCATGAAGGGGTTAAAAAGGAGTCCTGGGTTTGCTGCATTTTGTCCTTTAGACGAGGGATTGAACTAAAAATTCCACCCATCTATCTGGTTATTCAATCCAAAGCCAAACATCTCATTGAATAAATGCGGAAAGATGTGAAGCTCTCGAATGTCCTGACCAATATTCCTCCTGAAGTCAACAACATCAAATAACAGGTCATTAATTTTATTGTCGTTCAGGGCATCTTGTTGCATATACAATGTTTGTCACATTTGCATACATATTAATAGTCATTATAGGTGTTGCATTTCTTTGAATCATGTGTATATGTAAGATTTTCTTCAGGGTCATAATAAGTCTCCACTCAGTTGAATTACGTGTAGTTCAGGAAAAATCAGTGGTCATCACCAGCTCACTCTTGCATATCAATGAGGAAGAGGCAAGCACAGTTCTTTTGCACCTTTAATATCCTTCTCTGAAATTCCACTAGTTCTGGAGATTTGTGAGCCCTTACCCCTATTACATTACCCATCATAGCTTTTCTATATACACTACTGAATGTAGGGTTCTCTCTCTCACTAATCGAGTTTTTCCTGAGCCACTGGTAATAAATCCTGCTCTTTCATTGTGATACCTAAACTAAAACTGTTCATTTAGCAATTCTGCCATGTACTGATCATCTGCTATTGCTATATCTCTAGAGATATATCTCTATTTTTAGCCATAACTTTGCTTGGTCTATTTATAGAAACATTTGTTTGACAGTTTTCTAGAATTTCCATGGGGGAGAATCATAGATTTTCTTTGGGTTCGTACTTATAATCCCTTCAGTTGAATTGAGCATGGGCCAGGCAAAGTCAGTGGGAAGGTAGGAACATGTGAGCAAGAGTAGGCCATTCAGCCCCTCAAACCTGTTATGCAATTCAATGAGATCCTGTTGATCTGTGGCCTAACTCAATATACCTGCTTTTGGCCCATATCCTTTAATACTTTTGCTTAAGTGAAACATATCTATCTCAGATTAAAAACCAGCAACTGCCATTTGTGGTAGAGAGTTTCAAACCTTTATAAACTGCTAAATTAAATTACATTTATAATCAGTTCCTACTTTACCAGATAATAGTTTAAATTTATCTACCCTGTTTTTTCCTGTTGATATCTTCAAGTCTTCAACCAGATCACCCCTTAACCTTCTAAATTCCATAGAAAATAGGCCTAATTGGTTTAATCTCTCCTCATAACAAAACCACTGAAGTCTAGGTATCATTGTTGTAAACCTGTGTTATACACCCACCAAGGCAAATGTATCCTTCCTAAAATGTGGTGCTCAGATCTATTCACACTCCAAGTGGATTCTAACCAGGGTTTTGTATTGTGCATCATAACTTCTGCATCCTTATAATCCAGTCCTCTAGATATAGAAGCCAGAATTCCATTAGCCTCTTGATTATTTTCCAAACCTGTTTAAAGATCTGTGCACCTGAATCCCCAAGTGTCTTTGGACATCCACTGTATTTAACTTCCTACTATCTAGAAAGTACCCTGATCTATTCTTATTCAATCCAAAATGAATAACCTAACATTTGCTTATATTGAACTCCATCTGTCACAGTTCATCACCAGGTTTCTCCTGCACGTCAGCTTTGAAGAAGGAGTTTGGAAGCAAATTCCCTCTATCACTCATCACATTGCAAGACCAGAAAGAAAGGACAAATTAATTGGAACAAAACAATTTGCAGGAAGATCACATTTCTTAAAGGGCATACTTTTAAACTTGCCTTTTAGTGTGAAAGTCAGAAAGCGTTGACGGCAACATTGAAATTTTCAACACATGACCTGCAGGCTCCTTCTGATTTATTAAACTAAATATCTGATTATACTGTTAGACATGCATTATTATTTCTTCTCAGTTGACAGTTAAACCATTCTAGTGTGGAAGATGTGTTGTTTCATTTTAATGGAAAATGGTTAAAATAATTCATTGCAGTGAAATAATGCCCAATATGTGCACAATGTAATCTCATTGTAAAAACTATCTCAGTAGTTAACCAGAAATGATGTCAAGCCATTCTGTAGCTAGCCTTCAACATTTACAGATATTTGCACGAAAATTTAAGCTCTCACTTTCAAAAGCAAAATACTGCGAATGCTGGAAATCTGAAATAAAAGCTAAAAATGGTGGAAATTCACAGCAGTTCAGGCAGTGCTCTCTGGCAGCAAGCTGGGAGGCAGGGAGGGCATTTACTAGGTGGCAAAACCCGAACCTTGAGATGTTCCTGCCTCCATTAGACTTACGTACTGGGCAGAAAGATCTATGGTTCACCTCCCTACCCCAGTGCCAATTGCAGCATTTGAGACCAATTAATGACCAATTAAGGCCTTCATCCCACCACCACTGGAATTATCCCAGCTAAAGGTGAACCCGTCAGCCATATGCAAGTGTGACTGCTAAAACACTGTGGTCAGCTTGTCAATGGAAGGACACTTGAATAAGTAGGCAAGATTTCTCCATCACCAGGGGTCTTGGTTCCATGGAAGGTCTGCTGGTGGCCTTAACGCTGCCTGATTGACTTGAGGTTGGGCGAGCCTTCCCTGGAATGGGCATTGTGGTCTTCTTTTTGACTGACCAGCTGGAGGATGAGATAGGCACCTCAAAAAGATTCCGCTCAGGGTTTCAGATCTCAATACCTTTCATCAGAATGGATTTGTTTTTGTTTTTAGAAGCAGGAAAATATTGCTTAAGTTTTTGAAAGTTAAAATTTAAATTGAACTCAATTGAGGTCTACCGGCATGAATATAAGTTAATCAAATTTTGGTGTAATTCCTAAATTAAATGAAACTTATAATCAATTCCTACATTACCAGACCAGACAAGATTGGCTGTCAAAATATCAGTGAGGCAAAAGGTTCTTCCATTGCTTATGTGAAAATTGTACAACAACTTCAGAAGTTCAGTTAAAAGCAGCTAACCAAAATGGACTCTCAAGTCGCACCACTCTTCCATCAGCTTTATGAAAACTATATTCTGCTTCCTTGTTTCAACATCAAAATGTATCAAATGGCTTGAAGTTGCTGTTTTCTTTGTGGCAAATATACCCGGGATGTTAATGAGCAGCACAAACCTAAGGCCTTGTAAATTCAAAAGCTGGAAATTGTCCTGATTTCTGTTTCTCGCCCTCAAAGGGAAATCCTGACCATATTGGATATGTTTGAGCAATGGACCAAGAATGGAATAAATTTCTGCTCATGAACCTGTCGACAAGCACGGAAAGGATACGCACTGAAAATACCTTAAGTCTATCTTCAAAAGGCCGACAGAAGTTGAATGCTGAACCTCATCGTTATGGCTTCCTTACTGAATTGAATAACTGTGCAAGCAACTGACGGTTCAATATGAAGAGGTTCAAATCTGATACAACATGCAGTTGGGAGAAAGCCTAATGAAATGGTCTGAACACTTCGAAGGAGGAAGTAAAGATGTTCAACACGTGATCAGCCTCATCTCTACAAATCAGATTTGCTTGATTTCTCAGCACTTCACCCTATTTGTAGGATTAAACTTTGAATTTGTGAAACTTTACTTACTCTCATTAAGTGGACTAACCCGAAGCTATCTAGCTAACCAACCCAACAGCAGTGAGATATTTGACAGTGAAAGTGGGTGGTACTAAATTAAGAAAATATGAGAAACACTTAGACAAGATGACTTTATCAAAGTTTCTTGCGTGTCACTTTTCTAGGGAGTGGAAGAGAAAGTTGTTCAAGTCTGGGAGTTGCAACAGCGTTTTTAGCAGACTCTGATATTTCAAAGGGATTTTCAGACTTGGTTGCTACAGCACGGATCTTTGGTTTAGCAAGTTCTCCAATTCTTTCTGTGGCTATGTAACTCATTGCAGCATCAGATACAGGTTCATCCACTGGTCTACGGGGAACATACCCTGCGTAATCTCCTTTAGGCTCTAGAAAATAAGAAGCATTACTTTTGTTATGGCATAAGTATTGGAAAATGTAAGTAAAAACTACATGGCTTAGTAGCTCTGTCAAAGTCTTGTCTTCTTTCATCTGTTCAAAATATACATTTGAGATGCTAAGCTCACTTAATGTACATGGGTAAAAATGCTATCCTGGTTTTGTAAGCACAATCCTGTGATCTAGTATTGAGATTTTCCATTTATGTGACACATTTTCACTTAGTGGCCCGATTTCCGTTCTGGGATTGGGAATGATTGTCAGAATTATTTCTGGGTGCCAATCCTGACCTTGATGGCAAGAAAAGATGAGTTCTTAATTCTGTGGCAGGGAATGTGAGGGATTGATCTATTTGTTGCCTGATAGTTCCAGATTTTATTGTGATTAGTCTAAATTCCAATTCCCACTCTGCCATATGGGAGCTCACAGTCTTTTGGATTGCTAGAGCAATGACATAATCACCACTATAATGGGGTCCAGGACAGGGAGATTTGAGGCAGATGCTGCCACCTCCTTTCCTATATGACCTGTGCTGTTTACTGGGATGACTGTTCTCCCTGAGATTCCAACTCTCCTTCCTTTAATTTGGATTGAACATAATTCCACAAAAAATAAGACATTAAATACTCAGCTTATCCCTTTTGGAGCACCAATCTTATTAATTGCATTTCCAAAAGCCTGCTCAGCCCTTTTATTGCATGTCGCACCTTAGATAAGCCTGCTACACTCTTTCTTTAAACCTTTCCCAATTTTCAACCCATCTTCCTTGCTAGGGGTCACTTGCTTTGTCTATTAATGTTGTTTAAATGACCTGATTTCTGAAGGTATCATTAATCCCACATTTCTGCAAGAGTAACACAAACAGGTAGCACGTGTTCCATCTCAGGGTAAGGATATTACAAGCTAAACTAATTAAATTTTTCTCAGAAATACATTTTGAGCTGGCAGTCTCTTTACTTCATTTGGATGGATTTAGAAATTTGAAAGTGAGCTTTTTCCCCTTTCTGACATTTATCTGGAAAGATGCATTAGAAAGTTCAATTTTCTCTTTTCAGTATTACAATTAGCATTGGTACGCTGTTGCACACTTAAATTCAGTAATGTCTTACTTGCTAGTTCCACAAGCCTTTCAGTTGGTGATATGGTTTTTGCTTCTTCGCTGATCTGATGATCCCAGAAGGGGTAGTCCCACAAATAGGATTTTCGGGCAGGTGGCTCATGGTAGGTTTTATGCTTAGCGAGCTCTTCTGTTCGACTTGAGATTACATCATACATCATATCATCACCCATTGGGGTCTAAAATTGCAAAACAAAATATGGCTATAAAGAAAAAGCTGAGCATTTGATGCTGATAACAGTAGATCATGAATGGCTTGTATTTATATAATGGCTTTACCATACACCATAAAATGCCTGATGCATTGGGAAGCCTGCTAGAAAGCTTGTGCACTAGGTCGTGGAACATGGAGGAGTTGAGCTTTAAGTTAACAAACGGTTTTATCCATCCTTTCCTAATATTGAACTGCCAGTCAAGGTAGTCTGTACAGATGTAGAACACACAATGATGGTGTGTTTAATGATGAATCTGACAGGTTCAGTTGCAGCACAGGTACAATTTTGGCTCTGGGTACTATGGGTGAAAGGACCTTCCAATATGGCAGCTTGGCATCCACCAGCTGCTGTCTTCACAACACTGCCACTGACATTGCTGTTGCCTGCTAGCCAGCCAGCCTGGACAACTACTATCAGCCCCTCTAGGGCCAGAGCTGTTTGATTTTCTTTTCTAAAGGACATCCGCAATCTCCTCAGTGGAATTCCAGCAGCCTGACACATCCCTAGATCCTGTCATTGGGCAAGTTCCTCTAATTCATAGAAAATTAATGTATTAATTTGTATTAATATATTCATTCATACAATTATTTGAATTTTGAATTGATTTTGTGCTTGTAGTTAATGTGAGAGATATCAATGTGCTCTCCTCTCCATTTAGGGAAACGAAATGCAGATTGGTTGACTGCTATGCAAATTCCTATGTTCTGTTCACAAGAATGACCCTGAGCTTCCAGTTGCCTGCCATTTAAACAGACTACCAGGTTCCCTGGCCAACATCTCTGTCTGGGGCTTGCTACAGTGCTCCAGCGAAGCTCGGTGCAAGCTGGAAGAACAACACCTCATTTTCCACTTGGGGATCCTGCAACCTTCTTGACTCAATATCAAGTTCAATAATTTTAGGGCCTGAGCACTTTCTCCCATGTCCTTACCCCGACCCCCTCACACCCCAGGCCTTGTCATCACATAGGCTGCCGCCGCAACCAACCCATTGTCAGCTACTAACGCTCTCCACCAGCAGCTATTCATTCTCCCAGGCTGACCTTTACCAACTCCTTTATCAGCCCAATCGTTTTTTTTCCGTGTCTCTGGGCTCAATCTCCACCTATTCTTAAATCCTACATCCTCCCATCACCCTTTCTCTAGCATATATTCCAATCTTTTCCCAGCTACAATCAGTTCTGAGGAAGGGCCACTGAACCCGAAACATTAACTCTGCTTTCTCTGCTCAGATGCTGCCAGAGTTTTTGCCAGCAATTTCTGATTTTGTTGGGAGATATCAATATTTTGATAGAAATTGGACAATAATTGAAAGTGAGTGATAAGGAGTCTGAGAAAGCTGAGAGGTGCTGATGAGATTAATGGAAAAAGTTCTCAATGAATTTAAGGGTCTAGTGTTTCTGCACATTTTACACCCAGATATCAGCACACTGTGAAGGGAATCAGCTAGAAAGAGCATAAAAGATGGCAGAATTTAAAGCATCCTATTTCCAAAACCACTCAATTTCCTAGCTTGATTTTATATTTGTTTAAAAGTCATTTTGCCTGAAGCAATCTTGCCCAAAGAAAGTGGTCAGGCCTGCAAGTTAGCATGATAAATTTTCACTAATTGTGCTCATATCAAGTTGCTCGTCCCATTAATCCATCATTAATGAGCAGTAACCAGCAATTAATCAAAGCCTCACTCACATTACTGTCTCACACTGATTTTAGAATAACATAAAGATCAGTTGAAATTAATTATAATTCAACACGATCCTGAAAAACAGATAGTGCATGACCAAACTTATTCCCCATGAGCTAAACAACAGGCTGAATTGTGAATTTGGAGTTTGAAGGCTGATTTCAACTTTGGATGTGATGGTGTTAGGAGATGTGGCAAAAGGAATTCCCATGATTTCCTTATTTTAAAAAAAACTGAAAGAACTGTGGATGGTGGAAATCAGAAACAAAAACAGAAATTGCTCGAAAAACTCAGCAGGTCTGGCAGCATCTGTGGAGAGCTAATGTTTTGGGTCCAGTGACCCTTCTTCAGAATTTCTTCATTCTACTCCTTGGGCTTTTTTCTACTTCATTAATGGGTTTCCCTTGTGATTGCAACAGAATTCAGCAAAACGCCCATCAATTGCATACAATTTCCAAAGTGCTAATGATGGTCTATTTAAAGTAGGGACGTATCTCTTAATGTAAGGTGCCATCCCCTGCTTTGAACTTTCACTGAGAAACACTGGACAATCCCAGCCATGGAGAAGAGTAGAAAGTCTGTGTCCTATGTTTCCAATGTACTCTGGAGGTTCTAATGTCAAAAATTAGGACAAGGGGACAGGACCCCAAAAGCCACAGAAACATCCACAAGCCCACATACAGCAAGCAGCATTACAGATGGCTGACAGAGTCAGTGGCATAGAATAACCCAAGAATCTGTAATCAATACTGAAAGAGGTTCAAAGACTTCACAACAGTAATAAGGTGGGGTATATCTCTTCACCTCTCTACCTTTTTCAAAATGACAACTCTCCTTTAACTCCATCCCACATCCAGCAATTCCTTTCTCCTTACCATACTTTCACCATGCTATCATAATGGTACATTGTAACACCTGTTTCACACACCTCATTTCTTGGATCTCTTCACAACATACTGTGACACCATTATTTTGTCATATTTTCTATGTCTGCAAAACCACCAGCTCCTCCCAGCACTCCTTTCTCACTTCACAGCCTCCACATTTGGTTATTCATCACAATTCATCACTGATCCACATTTCATCCTGCATCTTTTTTAGATGTCAACATAAGATAAATGGACAAGCCTCAACATTCATAACATCATAGAATCCCTATAGTGTAGAAGCAGGCCATTCAGCCCATCAAGTCCACACTGAGCCTCTGAAGAGCATCCCTCCCAGGCCCACCCTATCCCTGTAACGTTGTACTTCCCATTACTAACCCACCTAGCCTGCACAACCCTGGACACTATGGGTAATTTAGCAAAACCAATCCACCTCACCTGCACATCTTTGGCAGAAACTCACACAGACACAGGGAGAATGTGCAAACTCCACACAGACAGTCACCCGAGGGGAGAATTGAAGCCAGGTCCGTGGCACTGTGAGGCAGCAGTGCTAACCACTGAGCCATAGTGTCACCCATTGTAGGATCAATATCCCAATGGAGAGGTAAGGCCCGAAAAAAACTGCTTGAGAATGTCCTCATAATATTGAGTTCTGCTGCAAAACTGAGTTCTGAGGAGTAAATTGTGACAGGCTTTTGACAACTAAATTAAAACATAATAATCTTGGCGCTGTTTCAGGAAAGAAAGCATTTTCCCTGACTTTCAACACCATTGATGGCTTTGTCTTCAGTGATCTAGGCCTTAATTGTTGGAATTCTTTCCTTAAACCCGGAGGTTAAAATGATGAGTGACAAAAGTGACAAGAGTGATCAAGAATGCAGCAGAAATGAATGACCACTGTTGCAATCAGCTTTCACGTTCCACTAGGCAGGTGACGTTAAAATCAGAACTTGAATATTTGCCATTAACTTACTGTCATCTTTTCACCACTGATTAATTCTATTAAGATTCACATGGACTTGTATTTTCATGCTGCTGGGATAGTAAATGATGAATACTGACTGACCAATCAGTCAGGCCATTGCTGTAGAATGTTGAATAGAATTATTTTCTGATTATCTCTGTGTGGATCAAGGGATGTGTCTTATCTGTACTTATCTTGGGGTCTTCAAAAACCTCGATCTCAGGTTCAGTAGAAGTCATTTATACAAGCAAACATAAACTGTGCAGTCTCTGGAGAAATATTGCTGAAATTTAGCTTGTTAATCATGTGACTTTTTTACAAACGTTTAAGGAAAATAAAGACATGTATTAATTCAGTGCATTTTATGACCTCGTGGCATCTCATAGTGCTTTCCAGCCAATGAAGTATTTTAATGTGTTGTCACGGTTGCAATGTAGCAACTATGGCAGCTAATTTATGCACAGTGAAGTGCTCACAAACAGCAGTTTAATGATGAACAAATAATCTGTTCTTGTGGTGACTGAAGGAAAAATATTGGTCAGGATCAATGTTCCCTTTAATCTTTTTCTTGTAGTGCACGATCAAATTATTTAAGTATTCAACTTTTAATGTTTTCATGTGGTCTGCATGCACAGTAACTTGTAGGGGTCAACTTGTATGTGCCTGCATGGGATCTTTCAGGTTGCTGCATGGCTACACAACAGCGGATCCTAGAAGGAACGTTGGTCAGGAGGCGTTGTGAATATGGTCATGACCTTCAAAACAATGACCTTTAGGCAGATAGGACTTCATCCATAAGACAAGGCCTTTAGCAGTGCAGCACTCCCTCCGTTTTTCACTGGTGTCTTCATCTAAATTATACACTCGAGTCTCTGGAGCAGGATTTGAATCCACAACCCTCTTCTTACTCAGAAGTGAGAATACTTCCATCAAACCGTGAAGTACACCTAATTATTTACTGAAATACTGAGATAAATGGCCAAGGGCTGTTATATAAATGATCATGAAGGTTGAAATAAATAAAACGGAGAACAAGGAAAATCAAAAAGTAATGGTTAAGACTGACAAACTAGAGATTTTACAGTTTGAATGTTGTGTGAAGACAGAAAAGCTAAAGGAAGTATGAAGTTCTTAGTTGGAATCCCTGTGAAATGATGAATGAAGGAGGGTGTGTATGCCTGCAGTATTGCAATCATTCTTTACTGGCTGCTTTTAAAGCTTTAAACCAACTGAACAGCTTATGAATGTCTCAGCTGAACTGAGAAAATGCAGGAAATGTTTATTTTAAAAATGTTTCAGTCTTTATAATTGAAAAATAACAAATGAGGTAGGCTCCGAAGAGGAAGTTCAGATTGCAGGTTCGGATTCTCTGGTTGATGATAGTCTTCAACCCCTTGAGATCAGATGATGTGGTGTTCAATGCTATCAA